CTGTGTAACTACTATTTGAGTGGTATTAGGTACAGGAATGCCAGCACAAGTCTGGGTTAAGGAGGCTAATATTTAGTTATTACCAAGTGGGTTAGATTTGCCCCGAACCAGGAGAGAGATGTTCCAGTGACAGATAACAGCTGCCACTCTGCTTTGGATCAATCTGATTTTTAGAGCTCTGCTAATGACAGGAAGACAATAGGGAAATATTTCCCAAAAGCAAATTCAATCATGGTATGCACAGTACCTTGTGGGCAGATACAAGCTTGGTCCACAAGTGCTCCAGAAAGTTGTGGAAACAACTGAGAACCATGTGGATCATTTAAAACAGTCCATACAGCTGGCGGATATACTCTTGGCTCCTAAACAGGTCCTATGATGTTGGGAACATGACTGGCACTCAGCTTTGGTCAGCTTGAAATACAAGCACAGCAAGCAGATGAAAGCCTGAAAGATAGTATTTAGACTTTCTCATAGTTACAGCCACATTGGCTTTCCAAGGTTCAGGTGCTTGCACTTGTTAAAAAATACCTCATTCATCTGTTGCTATAACAACTCTTTTGCCTTCCTACTCAGCAATAGTGCTGGGACAGACTTGAATCTTATTATTTCTTTTATTGTGGTCTGTTTTGCTTTCAAAGATATTTTAACTTGCCTTGGTGTAAAAGTAAAATATCACCTTTCATTGGACAATCATATCTTAGCCACAGACAGGGACCAGAGCATTCCCTGGCTGCCTTCAAAGGACTGGGCCCTTGTTTCCATTGAATGGGGGGATGATTGCCCCAAAATCTACAGATCTGAGTTTCCACAGCAGTGTGTGTCCAAATCTAGAAGCTCAGAAATTCTCCTGGGAACTACAGCAAGTAGACATAGAGTCTGTGTTTCTAACATGCCAAGAAGATGATATGAATAAACACTCTCACATGAACACGTTTAAAAGCTAGTTGGCATGATAATTTTGCTTTGCCTTCCTAAATTGCTCTCATTCCTCAGTGAAAGAAAAAAGACACCAGCTTTCAGGACAAAGCTCTTGAGCATTATCATGCTGCTGACAGTCCCTGAGGATGTAATTGAGAAACTCTGGGTTGGGATTAGACGTGGAGTCTGAGGCCGATTACATCCACACTGGGCACACTGCCAGCAGCCCGTAGGATTGTCCCCGTGAGGGTGAAACAGCACTCACAGGAGCCACCTTCCAGCTTTACTGCTTCATTAAGTCTCCACCAAGGAGCTCGTGTTCTCATAACAAATAGAAGCACTCTGCAGGCTTTCAGCAGTATTTTACTTTCTGCATCAGCAACATGCAGGTACATTATCCATTTTCAAGCACACCTATGCCACATGCTTTCTATAACCACTTTAATCTTTGAAGAATCCACCAAATTTAAAAATTGTTTTCTAGCTCCTGAAAAAAAAAAGAAAGGCAGATAAGTTTTGTAATAGATGAGTGGATGGAAGGGCAGATCTGAATGAGATGAGACATATAAGGCTATAATGTAATTTTGTTTACTTAAGGATGAGAATTTTGCCCTTGCATATAGGTTTTGCAAGAAACCTGGTTCACTGTAGAGAAGCCTAAATCTGTTTGGTTTCTCCTTGTTCTCTTTTCTGCTAAAGAGCAAAGTATCTGACAGGCAGAGACTAAGCCAAGCGAACACAGTCCCTGCATTAAGCATTAATGGAGACAAATGCCAGGTGTAGATGTCAACTGCAATTTTTCATTCCCTGCTGGTAGCAGAAGGCTCCATAGAGTAATGCCAAAATATTAGTGTAGAAAATGCACTTGTGGCTCTCCCAGTTCCATTGTGACTTTTTAAAAAGCTTTTTGTTTTCAAAAAGCAGTTTCTCTCTGGTACTTCTGTTATTCCATGTAGCTTTGTCACAGCTGATCTTCATTAAAACTGAAGACATTGTAAGAGAAGGCACAATTTTATTGCAAAGGTAATTGTTCCATAGTCTGATCCACTGCAAGTGCCAACATGCAAAATAATGTCATGCACTCACACATGCTGTGTAGAGTTTGACACTGTCACAAACAGCAGTTTGTTTCCCAGTTTGTTTTGATTTAGGAATACAGCAAAGTCGTCTTCTGCTAGAGGCATTTTTCTAGAAAGCAGACACAAGCAGAGACTCAGCTGTAACTGATACTTAAATTAACATAGAGGAGAACATTGAAATCTTTCAGGGTTTAGCATGAAGATAGGTCTGGTGTTTTGCTTTGTTGGCTTTAAGAACATGCTTTGGTAGAAGGTTGTTTTATTTTATTTTTGTAAATCAGTATGATTACATTTTAGTGAAATGAAGAGTGCCCTGAATTTGCAGGCATTTCTGCCTTAACTACCATATGTGGTATTGCATTCGCACTCTCTTCAACTGTGTAAATCAGACAAAATTGCTGTGATGCTCCAATTTTATGTGTTGACCATTCTTTTAGTGAAGGGGAGACAGCAACTTAAGACCACCAAAGTTCTCTCAACAGTTGTCTTTTGGCATTAGAATTCCTTCTGCATTAAAGGCTCAGTTACGGTTTCCTTCAGCTTCAAGTTTGTCTGCCTGAAACCCACTGTCATTACAAAATGGTTGATTAATCACAGAATCACAGAATTTCTAGGTTGGAAGAGACCTCAAGATCATCGAGTCCACCCTCTAACCTAACACTAACAGTCCTCACTAAACCATATCCCTAAGCTCTACATCTAAACGTCTTTTAAAGACTTCCAGGGATGGTGACTCTACCACCTCCCTGGGCAGCCCGTTCCAATGCCTAACAACCCTTTCGGTAAAGAAGTTCTTCCTAATATCCAACCTAAAACTCCCCTGGCGCAACGTAAGCCCATTCCCCCTCGTCCTGTCACCAGGCACGTGGGAGAATAGACCAACCCCCACCTCACTACAGCCTCCTTTAAGGTATCTGTAGAGAGCAATAAGGTCGCCCCTGAACCTCCTTTTCTCCAGGCTGAACAAGCCCAGCTCCCTCAGCCGCTCCTCGTAGGACTTGTTCTCCAGGCCCCTCACCAGCTTCGTCGCCCTTCTCTGGACCTGCTCAAGCACCTCCATGTCCTTCTTGTAGCGAGGGGCCCAAAACTGACCACAGTACTCGAGGTATGGCCTCACCAGAGCCGAGTACAGGGGGAACTTAAGAAAGTGTCTGTTCTAAATCAACAACTAGTAATAGAAGTCATGTGTCCATTTAATGGGTATTGTTTGCCTAGGGTATTTCTGTCAATTTACTAGTTGATAATAAAAGGCAATGTTCAATGCCCTGAGACATTTCACAGTGAAATGTACCTGCTGAGGAGCTGTGAGAGTCTGGGGAATTAGGGTATTATGCCCTTAATGAGTTTAATGGAACCAGTCATGTTTAGGAGATAGCACCTAATTTGCCAAAGTTGTATTAATTAGTCTTTCCAAAAGGGGATAGATGTCCAATATTTATTTCCTGGAAAAAAGGACTATATATATATATTCGTTTGTTTGTTTGTTTTTGTTAGATTAATGTATACCTAATGGAGAAGAAAAGGACAGGCAGATTTGAATATAAGTGGGAAGAAAGCAGACACCAAGGAACTAGTCACCAAGACTTTGCAATAGATTGGAAGGTGCTATGTCCACTGGTACTCATGAACACACAAGAAAATAATGCCTCCCTGAGATTTGAGCCAAAATGCAGCTTGAACAGGTTTGATAATGCAGAAGAGGCCTTTCTTTTTTTTGGTTTTCACGTGAACAGATTAAGAGAACAGCTTCCTTTTTGCTCTTTATCCATTTTTTGTAAATATTTTAAATTATGTCTATTCTGGACATTGTAAATAAACTTCTATTTGTATTCATCTGATCTCACCCTGAGTTAAGATTGACTCCTGAGTGCTTGTCTAACAGCAAGGCAGCCCTCCTAGCATGGTGGTAAGAGTATCTAAAACACTCCAAAGTAAACAGTTTTTTGAAGGCATCCAAGGGGTTATAACCTCTGTCTCCACTGAACTTTTGCAGGTTTGAAGCTCTGACTGCAGTAGAAATCATAAGAGGTAGCATTAGAAAACAGAAACTAGGCAGCTCCATGCGATCTGGCAGCTCAACATGGGCCTGTCCTTTACTTTCTTGTCATGTGCCAGAGAGCTTTCCTAGACCTTCTTATGGGATGCTTCTTCAATACAAGTCCCTGCATGTTCTCACAGAGTGGTGGCAGCCAGACCACAGTTTCCTCACATTTTCAGGTATGGGTAACCCTAACTGATGACTTAAATATGATTCCATGGCTTGAGCAACATGCTCTTTCCATCCATTTATACCATCACTGCAACTAACCTCCTGAGCTTTAGGGAATATAGACTATCTCCAAGGCCTCGTCAGCCACAGGGCTCAGACACCTGCAAGGTACTCATATGTTGCTGGAAGGCTTACTTTAATTGTGTAATACATTTGTCCTGAGACACTAAGGTGGTGAAATGATAGCAATGTGTGTCTCATAAAATCTCAACACATTCGAAAGCCCAACATTTATTTCACAGGAGCCCTGTGCAACTTGGTGTAGTGTGTGGCATCCCTGCCCATGGCAAGGGGGCAGGAAATAGGTGATCTTTAAGGTTCCTTCCAACCCAAGCTGTTCTATGATTCTGTGATTCTCTACTACTGAAAACTTTGGTCAGACAAGGAATAGTATAATGGTGGATGCTATGGGCAACATTAAGGTAAAAATAACATAAGCTTGGCAGAAAATTTGTCACAGATGTTTACCAAATAGAAATGACACAAAATGTTGTTACTAAACAGCATGCTCAAAGCTTCTGAGAAGCAATTACACCCACATACATATCTTCTTTCAAAGTCCATAGTCATTTTTAATGATCTGCTTAAAAGCCTTGAGTTGAAGAAGTGAAGATGCACGAGAAAGAGGAAGGAAAATAGAGTTGTTCTCATGAGAGATAAGCTTGGATTACTATTCCATAGGAGTGAAAAAATACTAAGATCTTCAATGCCATTGTCTTCATTTTGTAAAAATAAATATTTATAAAACTAATTAGGCAATGAGGTAGATGAGGATTTTATGAGAGTATCTTGCCCTTGACTAATACAATTTCAATTCACCTCAGATGTAGTTACCTATGCTGGAGTTAAATTAATCTTTTCACATTGATGTAATAGATTGAGCTGACCAAATTAAACTTACACTTGAAATGTCTAAAGAATCTTTTTTTTATTTTCTTTCTTTTTTTTTTTCTTCCTATAAATAAATAAATCCGTTTCCCAACATGTGTTTGGTGAGTGAGGAAAGCTTAGTAACCAGTCTGAATAATAACAATGTACCTTGCCTGTAGATATCTCATTGTCTTGAAAACTTTTCAGATCTGAAATTTTCTTCATCGCTCATCAGAATTCAGAACAGCTACCAAGTATTCACCTAAGAGTTACAGATACAGTCCATAAGTGACAGGTCAATTAAGAAGACAGCACAAATTCCTAGAAATGTTGGAGAACAAGGGGCATACAGAATACGTTATGAAGAAATTGTGAAAGTAGATTATTTCTGAGAGAGAAAATCAGAAAGGAGAACAGAGGGTAGGAAAGCAGAGAACACTAAAGATCCCTTCATTAAATCCTTACCTCCTACCACTGCTGAGAACCTGTCAAATTCAGAAGAAAAAAAATAAATTCAAAGCCTGGAGAAAACGTGTAAGTTAATAGCATCTGAACATTAAACATCATGTGGTTTTACACAGGCAAATAGGATTTACTTAGTTACTGTGATATTTCTACATGGTTGTAGAAATTGGTCATTGCTGTCCCATTACAGTTGTATGCATTAATGCCATCACTTTTTTTCATCATTGGTACCAAAATAAGCAAAGGAATTCACTTCCTGGGTTCAGACAGGGCCAAAGAAAAATATTAACCAACTCATGCAATTCAAGCTGAGCAGAGTATTTTTTGTAAATAAAATCTTCCAAAATGTGCAGTTCTGAGCAGGCAAAAACATTCCATGAGTTTAACTGAAGTCCAAAGAATATTTTCTGAAAAGGATAAGTAAAGAAAAAAAATCCTCACAAAACACAATTGAAATACGGATATTCTGAATAAAGTGCTGTGGTTGGTAATTCTGTGTTTAGAAATAAGATTTTTCTATTTTGTTGCTGAGGCAAAATAATATTTTTTGAAAACTAGGTAGACATAAACCTTGGAACTTTAATGAAGAATGACACATTTTGTTTCTGATCAAACAATATGCTTTGTATTGTTTTAATAGTTCAGCTGCATCATTTTTTTGCACTTGCAAAACAGATCTAATTGTGAAATACTATGACTTAAGAAAACTAAAACAAATTGAACTGGAATGAGCTTCAAAGTCACAGTCCCTGTGTAGTTCCAAGTCTGACTGAGGAAGGACAGACTACAGAATTTCAACAGCCCTGGGAAAACTCTGCAAGATTTTAGGAGGTGGCTTATAGGTGTCCTCTCCAAAAGTACTGGGATAACCCCTCATGCATATAGCAGTGCTCTCTGCGCCTTCAGCAGCCTGAGAAGGGAGCTAGTCCTTCAGAGATGGTGAGGTTTTGCCATTGCCTTGAACAAGAAGTGAATAACTTACCTGATATATTGAATGAGAAGGGCATCTGGTGTCTTGTGATCAAAAGCTGTTTCAAGTTGTTTGTTCTGTAGCAAGAAAAGTTGGCCAAAGCCATAGATAATCATCAGTAGATCTGGTATGAACCCATGGACAGGGGCTATGTAATTTTTCACTTTTTAGTCTATAAAATAGAATTAAAAGTGCGTAAGTTTTATTAAAGTAACACACAGTCATATTTTCAAGGCACTTGGACAGTAACCATATAAATATCAAGACAAGAATAAATATAAAGGTATCAAGTTGGACAGAGTATGCCTTTTCTGCTTCATGAAAGAAAATAAATTATTTTAATGTGGGCATAACTAATGCACTGTTGAATTATTAACCCACATGAATGTGCCAAAGTGATTAGCTCATTACTAAGGTCTCCATAGTTTCAAAATTGTAGAAAATATTTCAAAAATAATTTTGTAATTTCAACCTAACTTACTAAAAAATGGGTAATAGTACTGGTAATGTAGTAATGGAATAATAATGAGGTATGATCACAAAAAATACAACCTCAAAGAACAAGAAATGCGCCATGTGTGGCATTCTTATCATAAGCTGTTTCCCAAGCAACAGAACTGTAAAAGCCTAATTGAAAATGTTTGCAAGTCTAGTGTGAACGTATTTGTAACGGCCTCAGTTAGGATTGTCTATACACAGTAATAGAGTTAAATTAAATTAAAATATCACAGTCTTTAATTTAGGACTATAAACTTTGACTAAATAATGTTATTTCTGGCAAAAGGCAGATCAAGAATAATATTCATTTGTGATAAATACAAATAATAACAAAATCAAAACATCCAAAGCAATACAACACATTTGAGATAGTTTAATTAAACTGTCTCCAACTGGGATTAATTTGTTCCCTGTCATCAGCTCAGGTAGGAGCTCTAAAGGAAGGACAATATGTCAGGCCTAATTGTGCTTTATTTAATGTGAATATGGCAATAGACTCTCTAGTGGTTACCAGAGTACTAAAACAACCTTTTAATTACTTCAGCAGCCTCATTTCACCATTGCTTGTGGAAATACCCTGCCACTGTTTCTTGTCTGTTGTTGTGGTATAACATCTGTCCTGCACGGCAGCAGCTGGACCACACTGCAGAATCAACCCTCAGTGTTCTACACAACTCTCTGAAACACCCACTATTGTATGCTGTCCAAGGGACGATACTAGCTTAAGGTGAGCACACCTTCTTGAATAAAGGCCAAGAACATGTCTATGGAAAAGAAAAATAAGAAATAATAGAATTGTCATCACACTTTTCTGACAGCTCACTCCCAAATGAGTGGTGGTGGGGAAAAGCTAACTTTTTTTTTCCTTTCACTAACCAGCACCCAACCACCCTATTACAAGCTTGAGGTCATTCACCTGATGTCACAGGAATAAAGTGCTGTATATCTGTTTCTTCCACTGTTCATTGTATGTATGGGGCCAGAAAAGGTGGGCTGGTAACAGGCTGCTAACACCATAGCAATGGGGCTTCTAGAAGGGAGAAGATTCCTTCTAGAAGGGAGAAGATCAGGGTGCACCTGAGCAGCAAGAAGGTCCCACTTATTCAAAATTTCTCCAGGCTCAGGGAGCCAAGATTGCTGTGAGGCAAGAGACACAGAGTGACCAGGAAACCTAGCAGAACAACCAACCAGGTTTGTCGCCTATAGCTGCATCTGTGAGATGATTTCAGGAGGTTAAGGAGTTATTCTTATCAAAAAATTAGTTTGAGAGCAGGGAGAGCACTCCAGGATGTTTTGTCTGGGGCAGCGTTTTGTGTTTGGGGACTCTCCAGCCCACTCATGATATACTGCCACATTGTGGTAGATTGCTTCAGGTTTTCAGAACACATGGGAATTTCAGAGAAGGGCCAGTAAAAGCTAAGCATAAACTTCAGCATTTCCACACATTAGTATTAGCACTGAGGTACAGCTATCTCACAGATGAAATATCAATGAATGTAACAGGTGTAAATTCTGTTTAACAAGATACTTTACATTATCTCCTGTAGCTCAAACTACTGTGAACATAAATCTGACCTAAAAGATCCTTTCCAAACTCAGAAGTTCATCCCATGGAACTCAGCATGGAACCCTTGGAGGACTAGAACTGCTTAATCATGTTTTTTGCAATTCATCTCTGTGATAAACTCTTGAAACAAATACAAAAACAAAACAAAACATTTTATACAAAGCATACTTTACACAAACATGCCACTTCTGATCTTTCAGTCTTGATCTCTAAAGAGGATCTTCAAAATGCCTTCTGAAGATGAGATTAGAGCTAACATTTTAAACTCTGCTGGTCACTAAAAAACAGGGATTCAATAGAGATATTGATTCCATGGCACAATATAATTTTCTTTCCCCTCCACTAACATCTCCATGTTTGACAGGCAATACATTATTATTTTTTCTTTCCTTAGAGAGATAACTGCCTTATCACTTTTCTCTATTCTACACATACCAGCTACCTTTTCTTTCAGAGGTAGTTGGTATATATCTGAACAACTGCTTTCATTTTGCGTTTCACTCTGAAGTCTGCTAATTCTGTTTCAGATCTGAGGAAGTCTAGTGTGTCATAAAATTTGTCTACCATTTCCAATTACACTACCTGATTAAATAATAGATGATATCTCAATATGCACATCTGGTTTTACCTCATCTTTAGATGACTGCTGTTAAAACAATTCAACCACATCTGCTTTTTAAACATTTCTGAAGTTGGAAGGCTAAGAAAACACAGTAAATAAAGCATACCAAGTTAAATAAAATATGAGGCATGATGAGATCCTGGTTCAATTAAACAACAAAGTGGATCAGCATGTGACAGTGGACTCATAAATAAAGAATCAATATGAAGGTTACTCACCTTGGCTTGTGTCTAAACTTCTCTGTTTTCCAAAAACACTAGAAGATTCTGATAACAATTTGCTGTCTCTGGGTAGTTTCATATTAGAGTAAAAAAGTGATAGCACTGTCATCCTGCAAAGCACCATCCAACAGTTTGCCTTTAGACTGAGAGGTAGGCTATAGTTTAAGCATAACATAGAGATAACATACCTTACGGCACCTCCAGCTGCTGATTCAGAAAAACAAGAGTATTCTCTAGGTTCTGCATCATGTCAGCCAATGTGTTGCAATTGTTTTATAAGCCCTGGGACAACCTAAATGACAGTTGACATTAATGAAATTGAAACTCACCTAGGACACCAAGAACGAGGAACAATTAATTCAGGCTCCTTCTTGGTTAGACTTAGCAAAAAAGCCAAGGCCTATCTCAAATATCCTAAGCCAACACTAGCTGAGAACAAGGTCCCCAGGATGTGGAGCACAATTTCATGTGCCACAAACTGAGAATACGACCCTGTCCCAATGCCAAAGACATCCCTGGGTGGTGTGAAGGATGACTTCCCTCAAGTACCTTGTCAGTAGGACCAGTTTTGTTAGGCTATGAGTTCCCCTTCTTTCCTGACCAAACGGGAGCAAGAATAAAGAAAACAATTAAGATATTCACAATAAATTCAGATGTCTAGTGGCAGTGTAAAAGTAGTCAGACTGCTTGTAAGCTCCATATATTTGTTTCAAAATATTGGTACTTATTTTTCTTCTTAATATTTTTTATAGCTAATCAATAATAAAAATTATTATGTGTAACTTCAGTAACAATAAGTAAATTCAAAGGTTATAGTCCTCACAAACTTTTACTATATTTTTGGTCCTTTAAAAGAAGTTAACATTTATAAATAAGATAAAAACAGAAAATAAGATAATAATTCCATAGATTTTGTTTTGATGGACAGTATATTATCATATATAAGACAGTTCCAATTTACCACATGAATAATAACACAGATATCTCATAACACATTGTGACATGGTTGTGATGAAACAGAGGTTTGTGCCAGCCTTCATAATATTTCCGGAATTCAAAGCACTAGAGCTACCAGTGGGAGACATATCCCCATTTAAATTTGTTAGATGATCTAAGTGCATCTTTTGCTTCGAGTATTACTTTTTGCTGAGTCATTATTTTGTATCCTTCCTATATGTTTCACAGAAAGTGAACACCAGAAGCAATGGCTGTATTAAATTAAATCTTATGAGTACAGGAAGCTTGTTTTAATAATGGCTGGCAAATACAGACAAATTGGAAACTTTGAAATCCTTAGCACTGTGTTTTATTATCAGACAAATATTTATTTTTAAACTGATGAACTTGAAAAAGAAAAAGATTAGAGTGATTCCTTTGGAATTCATAAACTCATGTAAAAATCACATCCTGTGTCTACAAGCTATTATTACATTATTTTGCAGGTTAATTAAAAAGACACTACACATATATAATTTTTTTAATGATATACTATTGTTTTTATTATTTTATATATCCTTATAAAGAGTCAGTGGAAGGAGTTGTTGGAGATCATATCAAAGAAAAAATCAGGAGAACAAGAAAATGTAAGAGAAGCTCTAGCAGATTCATTAGAATCAATCTGTTAGTGCTTTGAGAAGGTGACATTTAAAAACCAACAAATAAAAAGGGCTTGGCTAACCTATGACTACGGATCCATACCACAGAACATCACAGGCTCATGGACTACACCAAAATAAAATAAAAAGAAATCCTTACCTTTTTCCACCATTGCTTGTGGTGTACCTAAAAGACAAGGACTAAGGGACTATGAGATACCATTCTGTACTTGAGTAAGGCTATTTGTCATGTAAGCTTTTCTGAAAGCAACTAGATTGTTCTCTTCTGGGAACGATGTTACTATGAGCCACCACCTCAAATATCACACCTGGATGTTGCACTTAAATTACGCTGCAATGAAGCAAAGACTTGCTTCTGTTGCTGCCTCGATATTACAGTCACAATGACTGAGAGGCTGGTTTGCGCAATGCAAAAAAGCAAAGCAGTGCTGGGCTATTTAGGAGTTAACTATTAATATTAGAATTCCTAGTAAAGTCTTATTCCTTGAAAAAGGTAAACATGTTAAATTTACTTTTGAAACTCACTAAGAAACCCAATGCATGGTTGCATCCCTAATACAAGAATTTGGGGGCCATAAAAATTACTACAATCCTAGGAAATCTGATTTTCCATCTGTGGAAATCAGTTCAAAGTACAATTTAAATGTCAAGGTGCAATCAGACATGACAAATTCTGTATAAGAGCACATGCATACTCCCCCGCATCAGGACATCCACTCAAGATTACAAAGTTTGTAACTTATTTGTTATCTGTCACACATTATATTTCACTAGTTCACCTACTTATTATACATTACATGAAGAAAGCAAACTGAAGAAAGTAATCTCTTCATCATTACTTATTTAGCATACTAGATGTCAGCTGAAAAAACCCTTGTCCATCTATTAATGATTCTACGATTAGTTATGTAGGAGTGAGATGCATAAATGATCTGACTTTTCACTCACATAGTTGAGAAATAGAAAATAACCCTGCTGACATCAACAAACTATTCAACTTCTCAGACTTTAGTGACAGACACTGGTGCAGCTGTCATCTTTCTTGTGCATGCTGGCCTAAAATGAACACAATTTTCAGAGCAAAACAAGAGTCAGAATCACAGAGTAATAGAGATATGAAAGCTGGTCAATCCCATGTAAACGGAGATGCACAACTTTGGCACAACTCCACCAAAACACTGGATAATTGAGACTATGGGCCTACTACCTGTAAACTGAATAAAAAACTCCGGCTTTCCGATGGCAGCTCTGAGAAAGAAATATTCCCTCAGTGGAGGGTTGAACGGACTTAGAGGAACGTATCACATTACTCTGCTATCTCACAGGAAAACCTGTTCTTCTCCATCTTTGCTTGGTGGAGACCGTGGAGAGCGCATGCACAGGAGAGGACAGGAACAGCTCTTGAAAGCATCACTCCCAAACCAGCAGCTGCAATATGCAGGGCCAGGCAGACATGGCGGCAGAGATTTCAGTGTCCAGCATGTTGCCTGGCCCCTTGCTGATATTTACTGCCTCCCTAGCACAGACAGAAAGCAGATATCTATGTCTTGTCTGTGCCACACCATGCTGTATTAAAGGGATTGCACAGGCACACAACTGATTTTTAATGTCAAGCTGCCACCACCAACCCAACCCGTCCATCACCTCATCGTCTTAAAGAGAAGAGGTTCAGTTAACATCAGCAGTCACTGCTAGCCCTTTCAGAAAACCCTTTTTAATACCACCCATCTTCAATAAAAAGCCGTGTGTTTCCAGAACAGGGAGCAATATAAAACCTAAAACAATCATCAAGATTTTACCTCCTACTGAGGTTGGAACGATAAGACCTCTGGCTTGCATCTGGAAAAGCACCTAAATCCTTGAGGTTTGTTTTTCTTAAATCCTTTCCTTTTCTCTCCTCTCCCTAGTCTCTGTCAGTTGCTTGGTGATGAGGCTTCCAGGAGCAGAAATCTATGCAGCTTTTTTCACAGTCATGGTCACATGTTGACATTATAGTTGCAGGTATGGATCTGTTTGCTAGGGTCTCCATTTCTAAGAGCTTCTTCCCAAGTTTGGCTTGCCAGTCACCAAGTGAGAGGCATCTTGCCACATAGTTCTTCTACAGAGCAAGCCAGGCATCAAAAATAAGACAAGATGTTTCAAACAGATGCACACACAAGTTCCAAGGCAAACAGAAGCTCCAATCTACAACAGCAGAAGAGAGGGAAAACAACTCATTGAGTAAAAAGTAAAAGAACACAATAAAACAATAATGATGAATAAATTTTTTTTTCTTTTTTTTTTCTTCTATTTTTTTTTTTCTTTCTTTCCAGGTCAATGAATGAAATGTTTATTTATTTATTTATTTGTTTGTTTGTTTATTTTTACTGTTACTCAGCTTCTTCTATAAACATCTGCATGACTGCATCCAAAAGAGCTGTGTACATGATCTAGGAGCAGAAAGCTTTCATATACAGGTCATTGTCTGTTCTCAGAGGCAGACACCCTTCCATTCTCTTTTAAAGCTCCTTTCTCTCTCCAAGAGCTGCTCCAGTACCGAGAGAACAAGCAAGGCAATCTTTTATTTCAATCTTGTCTTTGCTCTGAAAGCTATGTAAAAACCTTCGATAGATGCTGCCAGCCTTCACTAAAGCACAAATGAAAATGACTTCATTTACCTGGCATTTTGCAGGGCAGAGCAACCTCTTGTGCACCTAGAGGCTTCAGAAGGCTGTGAGGATCTGACTGCAATGAAAAGAAATCAAGCAGAACTTGTACCCACTTTTGCCACAGCTTGTAAGCATCCATCTTACACCTAGGGACAACTGACACAAGTCTAGGAAGAAGATTTTAAGGAGCGTTTTTTGACCATAAAGAACAGAGGGCTGTCTAGTCCCAGAGGCTAATATTTAACTTAATTCAAAGAAGAAAAGGATGAAGACAGAACAACAACAGTCCTGCCACACAAAATGTATGTCATGCTCATAATGTAACATGGTAACTTTAAGCACAAAGGAACAGATCTTTGTAACATATGCAAATATATGTGTATATATATATATATGAACATCTTTGCATATAAATGCATATATACACATACATACACATATGTATATATACATATATACATGTATCTGTGTATATTTGTGAAAGGTCTTGGTCTTTTACCTGTCATTGCTTCTTTATTATTTTTAAATTCCTGCCACAATGCCGAAGTTGTTTTTGCAGTTGCCATGATCTGCTGTGTGCCAGGAAATGTACTATGTAACATCCCCACCACCGCCCTTTGGCATGTTATGCTATGAGCCTTCCCCTCGTTCTTGAGACATGTCAAGGAAACAGATTCCAGCCTCTGGGATGCCCAAATTCATGTGGGATTGCTGACATCCTATTTTTTTTTTTTATTATTATTTTTTAAAAACTCTAATTTTATTGAATACATTGTTTTGAAGAAAATAGAGGGCCCTTGTGCTTCTTAGGCTTCTTTCTGAGATACTTAAAAAGCAAAGCAAATTCATTTTAGCAAACCAAAGGGGTGAGGCTGTAAACAGTTATGAAAGGAAAGAAAAAAAAAAAAAGGAAAGAAAAAGGCACAGAAGTACTAAGTCCTAGGCTAGCCTTAACTTCTGCCCACTACCAGAGTTTTGAAGGCTGTGGCATGCTGAAAACATGCCACACAAAGCTGAGACCAGTGCTACAAAGCCATCTACAAGATACTGACCTCCGTATCAGACTGGGTTCAGGGAAAACGGAATTTTTGTTTAGATACATCCAACTACCACCAGAATATTGCTACACATAAATTAAATTTCAAGTACATCCCTAACTTTTTACATTATTTAATTTTAGTGGAACATAGTACCAACTGTGAAGAACTTCATTTGTGAAATTGTAAAAGAAACATTTTTCAGGCCCATCTAGGAGTTACACAAAGGCTTGACATACCGACTTCTCAAGCTACTGTGGAGAGAGAACCAAAACAGAATTTGCCTGACACTCTGTGTCACAGGCACCATGACTTCTATTGTTTTATTTTTCATAGTTTGATTACAATTTATAAATATGTCAGAAAGACCATGATCATTAAGATGCTGTATTTCCACAGAGACCACACACTTAAAACCAAGCTAACAAAACATTTTACCAAGTTGGCACACGGTATCCCCATTTTCCAATGCAACTTTGTAAGCTGGGGCCCATCATACTGAGCAGTTATCAGCTTAATTTGAGTCAGATTTAAAAAATTAAAATGCTCAAGGACTAAATGTGCAACTGATTAAAATAAAATTAAGAGGTGGGTGGGTGAGCTTTTTCCCAGATAAGAATATCCCACCAGAGAACTAAACAAACTATTCCTTAATATTCCAGTTGCAGAAAGAACATCTCAGCTGATTTTAAGATGCAAGATTTTTGCAGCACATTTCTAAAAGCTAAAACTCAGTCTGGAAGACTAAAAAAGAAAAAGAAAAAAGAAACAGAATTATTATTATTATTGTTTCTTTTTACCAAAAGGACCTATTTTGTTTATTAGATGATGATTTAAAACTGATTTTCACTTCAGTGGATGGGGGGAAGATGTAAGCATAAACTAAAATTGGCCTTCACTCATGATTCATGATAGAAAATCACAATCAACACAAATTTATACTGTGTACCCAGAATACAAAACCAACCATAATATATATCCCAAGGAGAACATGAAAAAGCCATTTCTTCCTCAACTTAGAACAGTTCCTAGCAGAACTACTAGAAAATTTCAAGAGCTATAAACTTGGGATTATTCATAGCCTACTGGAAACCTCCTAAACCACCATTTTTATATAAGAGGGGGAAAAAAAAAAAAAAGTGTTGCCAGTAAAAAGTATCCTACTGAAAAGGAGACCTAGTCACAAAAATATAGAGAAAATGAATATTTAAAAAAAGGAAAACAATGAAGAAGTAGTTAAAAAGAAGTAGTTAAAAAGTGGTAACAACTTACAGTGATTTATAAACTCGTTGCAAACTCAACAGGCAAAATAATTAAAGACAACATGGTGGAATTTTTAATAAGAACAAGAAGTGCCTGACAATGGATTAAATACATTTCAAGATACAGGCAAAATCATAAATAACACCAGAGATAAGTTATAAAACATAAATATCTACTGAATATTATTAATGATAATTATCATAGGAGAATACATCTATTCTATATAGTACAAAACACTGATATTTTTTATTTTTTTTAAATAGCCCATATCTTCCAAGATTAAAGGTAGGCATGAAAAAATCAACAAGTATGGCAAACTTACCCTTACTCCACAAAGCCTCGAACTGTTTAGCTGAAGGTCTCTCCAACTCATTAGCTTTTATAATTTTATTTATTTATTTATTTTAAATAATAATTCATGAAAACTGGAACAATTCCAACAGATGGGAGTACTGCCAAAAAAAAAAAGAAAATCCCAGGGCTGGAAAAGAAAACCCTGCAATGTGCAACTTCAAAAATATGTCATCTCAATTTGTTGAAGAACATCTCAAAAAACATTGATCACTGTTCAAAAATGATATAAGAGTAGACGGATTTTTCTTTTGAAGCAGCTTCTACAATGAACACTTCAATAGCTAACCATATAGACTGGTGGACAAACTTTTCTAGATGGTTATTTCTTTCCACCGCATATTCCTTCCTTTCCTACTTTCAGCTCCTTAGGCTGAAAGTCTTTGCTCTCAAAACCTCAGGCTAGGTGGTGGGTGGAAATGGCCCCTAGTGTCTTCAAAAACCTTTGACACTATTGTGCCTATCTGCAAAAATATGCAGTCATTGAGCAAACAAACTATCAGTGCAGTCACAGGGATGAAAGCAGGATTTGGCCTATAGAGATTAAATGAATGTTTGCAGATTCTTGAGATATCTCTCTGAACGAATGGAAAATGTGAAAATTAATTAAAAGCACAGCTTCACAGCTGAGACCTTGAACATGGCATTTCATCTGGAGCTAATGTTTATGAGAAGTTACACTCTCCCCACCTTGGCAAAAGGCTATAAATTTGCAATTAATAATTGTGCTGCTATTAATCTTGGAATGAAGTGGAACATAGTCATTAAATGGAGAAAGTCTTCAGAAATTATATGCATGTGGATGAGAGCAGAATCCTTTCAGGAAATGAAATGGGAAAACTGGCAAGAAGTGTCTTTAATGGCTTATTATTAAAATTCTGCTATTCTGATCATGATTTAACACTCAAAGCTCCCCCAGATTAATCCTTTTGGAGTTAGCTGCAGCAGTAACTAAGCCTGTTCCTGCCCCATCCATCTGGAATAGTTTCTACTCTTCAGTTATAGCAGACCAGAGCTCACTGTCATGATTTAACTTGCTCCCACCAGTGGCTCAAGCTCAGTCCTCTGCCATTTCAACAAGCCAGTGGTGAGGTACAATATATTCCCACTGCCACCCATTGAATCTCAGGGTAGAGAGCTAGTGGCAATAACACATGTAGTCTGGAGGTATAACCAGCACAATACTCTGTCTGGTATCTTAAATCTTCCCTTACAATACTTTTAGTTCAACAATGAGGCAGCCTCAAGCCAGGGTGAAGGGAAATTTGCTCAGTTCCTGCCATCAACATGCACTGACAATCAGTAGCTCAGGCATTCTTCCTAGATTATGTCCTTTCTCTGTATTTTCCCATTACCAAAACCAGAGAGATATGAGGCCCTCACCCACACCTTGCTCTGAATCCGTAGTCCAAAAGCCATGGTCCACACCAATGTCTGCCTGAGAACCCAAGATTAATGCTAAAGGTCATCCTGGCAGCCCTGATACAAAGCTTCCAATCCAGTCTTTCCTAGTATCTTCTCTTGCTTTCTTTTAAAGTAACCCACCTGAATATCATCTCCATGAAACGTCCTTCAAAGACTTCATAGGCAAAGAAGAACAAAGGTTCAACATTAGCTTTGATTCTAACTTAAAAAAAACACAATCCTTTAACATCTCTGAAAGTTAATTTTACTGCCTCTATTACAAGCAAGTTACTTGTTTGGTGTGAAGAGAAATCAGTTTCATTTATTTGTTACCCTCACTCTTGCATAACATGGGGGAAAACATACATTTTGTTTCAAAGAAGCTGGTAAGAGAGAAATTCAAAGTGACAAGTGACAAGCAGAGAAGTTTTGCCCTCCATAAACCTTGGTGTTTGCTACCTCTTTGGAACCATGTGAGTAAAGAGCCTGAGCCTAATCAGGTGTTACACTCCTATGAAAGTGGTGAGCAACCAAGTGCAAGTGTATTAAGTGGTGCAATAGAAAGTGAGACTGAAAATATTTGTCAATCACTTCCTTGAAGAATGCAAAGTAATGTACAGCTTTCCCAAGTTTGATGGACATTTCTTTTCAAAAGGCAATTTCTTACCCAAGAATGTATGCTCTTACCAGAGAGCATTCTGGCTTTTTAATGGCTTCAGCATACGATGTGGCATTTTGACATGAGCATAATTACTACACTGTCAAAGATAGGGTATCCAAGTTCAGAGAAGTATCAATAGGTTCTGCATTTAAGAGCCTAGAAAGTTTTAGTGATCTCTGATAATACCAGGAGAAAATCTCTTACCATCATGTGTAATATCTTTTAATCCTTCCCCTGTGAACATCACAAGCTATCCAAGAAATACCTTATAGAGACAAACAATGAAGAACTATTTAAGACTATTAGAACATGAAATTTCAGCTGTGGTTAATTTTATTAGATAATACAAATAAATCTTTTGCTTAAGAAAATAATGTTTTACGGATTCCATGCAGTCTTGAGGCAGTTTGATTAGAGTCAGGGAACAACATAATAGTGACTGTAACATTGTCATCTCTCCAGAGAAAGACTCTTTGTGTTCACAATATCTGTATCTGTATTGCCTGGGCTGTAGCTATTTCTCACTCCTATGATAAATTTTATTCCAGGGTAGGTAAAGAGGTAGATATACCTCTAGAAAGTATTCAATTAAGTCACCTTTCCTAATCCTTTTATAGCTAGATTATAGCACTGAAATTATTTTTTGCACCTTTATGAGGGATTTTTTCTCCCTGTTTCAAAGTTTTTGTCAACTGAAACAAGTGCATTCTGTTTTTAAATACTCATTCCTTAACATTTGTAGGCAGTTAATAGTTATTAGCACGCATTGTAAAACTTACAATTCTAAAAGGCATTTGGACTGTGCTAATACAAGAGCAAGCCTGTTTTATTTCTCATTTCATTTGTTGAAATATAATAGAAGATTATTATGAAGATTGATGGAGATGATCCCCAGCTTAATTGTTATAACCAAATGATCATTGCACACTGATGCAGAAAATTAAGGGTGTATCAGGTCAGGAAGTATGCTCAGATGCAAAACCTTGATTTTGCAAGGCTACAGGAAATCATAGTAACTGTGGAGAAGCAATTGATTATTTTCACAGATTGGCCTTTTCATAAGACACAACTTTCACTTATCTGCAGCCATGCAATAACCAGGAATTTTTGAATTTTTATCCTGATTTGACTCCTCTTAACCAAAAAAAAAAAGAAAAAAAGGGGAAGGTTAAACGAAGTGGAAAAGACAAGTTAGAAACAACAGAATATTGGTTAGTAAAACATAAATCAGGAAAAGTGGGCAAACAGAATTCTCTTCTAATAAACACTCCTGGTAATAGCTAGAAACATTAATCAACCACAATGTAATTGAATAGTAGCAAGTAGATCAGCCCAATAGGAGAGGACATAAAAAAGGATAGGGCTAGTGCTAAGGACCCAACTTTCAGATTATATATGTCCTGGGGAGTTTCTGAATCAGAGTTACCCTAGTTTCTTTCTATAGGCTAAACAGCCGCTAGCTGCTGGAGGGCATCTTCCAGTTATGTTTCAGCCTACAGGATTTCCGTTTATGTGCTTTCACAATCTTTTGCAAGGGGAAACCAAAACATGGAAGCAGGGACAAACAAGTCATCCATCTTAAAGTGAAATGTGATCCAAAAAAAAATGCCAATGTGGATGTTCTTAGTATTTCTTTGCACAGAGACACAAGGGACAATGCAGCAGAACAATAATAATGCTGCACTTACAGCCATCCATCTACTGTGCTACCATGATGTCTACAGTAACAGCTATCAGTAGTATTGGTCCTGCATATTTTAGCTTCTACTCCAATAGTATGTGGGTGTTAGCTCTACAGGTCTTTCTATTCCAAGAAAGTGGAGGAGGAAGTCCTTGAGATATACTGGGTTCCTCTCACTTTTCCTTTCCACCTCTTCATCAAAGCACCTACCAGTAAAGCATGCTGACTTGTGCTGGTGCAGTGCAGCTGCTGCACTGGAGAACCAGCATGCTCTTGAAGTGAACTTCATCTGCTAGGAAGACCTATACTTGAAGGAAACAAGAGAGAAGGAGATTATCCTAATTCCACCTTCTAAGAAAATGAACAAACAGACCCCTCCTCTTGCCCACAAACTCTCTCTCCCCCCTTAGACTCCAAAGACTCTATCCAGCCCAGCAATACACATGCTAGAGTAACATCACGGTAATCTGTGATCTTGTAAGGCTGGGTGAGAAGCAGTAATGTCACCATCATGGAAGATTAAAGTGGCACTATCCATTACTAGAGGACAGTTAAGTTTTCTCCAAGGAAGGTTTAAACAAGTTGCGAGTACAATATTTCATTTCTCTTGAGCAGACTGACTTTCTTAACTAGAGTAGCAACATTTTTTTTTCCACATGGGCAAATCTGGAGCAAGCACCATTTTTACATAAGCCTTTAGTTACAAATCATCTAATTTAACTAATATGGCTGGTTTCCATAGTGCATTTTTTCTAGGAGTGCATTTGGCCGCACCTCGAGTACTGTGTTCAGTTTTGGGCCCCTCGCTACAAGAAGGACATGGAGGTGCTTGAGCGGGTCCAGAGAAGGGCGACGAAGCTGGTGAGGGGCCTGGAGAACAAGTCCTATGAGGAGCGGCTGGGGGAGCTGGGCTTGTTCAGCCTGGAGAAAAGGAGGCTCAGGGGCGACCTTATCGCTCTCTACAGATACCTTAAAGGAGGCTGTAGCGAGGTGGGGGTTGGTCTATTCTCCCACGTGCCTGGTGACAGGACGAGGGGGAATGGGCTTAAGTTGCGCCAGGGGATTTTTTAGGTTAGATGTTAGGAAGAACTTCTTTACTGAAAGGGTTGTTAGGCACTGGAACAGGCTGCCCAGGGAGGTGGTGGAGTCACCATCCCTGGAAGTCTTTAAAAGACGTTTAGATGTAGAGCTTAGGGATATGGTTTAGTGAGGACTGTTAGCGTTAGGTCAGAGATTGGACTCGATGATCTTGAGGTCTCTTCCAACCTAGAAATTCTGTGATTCTGTGATTCTGTGAAGTAACTAGGAGCTAGTTGTGAGAAATGGGAAAATAAAATTTAATACAAAACATTTCAAAACTTACCATCAATTCTCCTTGATGCTCATATCTTCATCTGAGAATGGAATGAGAGGAGGGTTTAAAAACATTTTATAAGAGATTAGTGCCTTTTTATTCCCACCATCATCTCTGAGCTTTCCTCTTGCTCATAAAACACAACATCCTTAGAAGGGGGCTGCTATCCATGAGGCCTGGCACACTGCCACAGAGGTCTTACCTAAACTTCTTCCAGCATTCAGCCCACACTGGTCTCCCAGGAATAACATTCCCTGTATTTACACCCTGACAAAACAACTTCATCGATCTTTTAAAGATTCTGTGAGTCTGGAGTAACCAAGGTCCCTGTTGTTTTCATGCATAACATCCGTCTTTTGAAACAGAGGACAAAGACTGAAAGTCCCTAACAGGACCTGCAGTAAGGTCAAGCAGTGAACTCAGAGTATCAAAGTGGCAGACCATGTAGAGAAAAAATAAAGGTGTTGTATAAAGAAAACAGACCTCAAAAATGAAATAAAACAAAATAAAATAAATTTGCCCCCCTCCCCCCACCCCCCATAAGCTAAGTACCAATATTATACTTACTGTGCTTACTGACTCTGGTCACATAGGTGGTGATGTTTTCTGTCAGCAATATAACCTGTAAGTAGCTAGACACATTGGCAAAGCTTTGAAGTGTGGATTGAGTTTCCATGTGAATAAAATGAAATCAACTGTTCAGCTTTAGGAGTCAACTGGTTGGAAATAGCAGCTTTATTCAGCTACCGACAGGAAGCAGACTTGTACTGGATATTGTAATTAATATTTGTTTTTTTGTAATTTAAAGGACACTATGCCAATTTACTACTTAAGTTTACAGTTCATTACACTTGATGCAGATATAAAAGCTGTATCTGATAAAATCATCTTCTGAATAAAATTAATGAAATTACTTTCACACATAGCTCTGTGCTAGCTTTAAAATATAATGCAAAATCCAACATATGAGCTTTTTACATTCATTTTATTGTCACATATTATGGAAACATTTCCATGAAGGCTTTTGAAATGGAGAATTTTTGGAATTGGTTATAGCACTTATGAAAGGCTCTGCAGTAACTGATCTGGAGTCCGAAAATCCTTTTCCTGCCTCTCCTTCAAACAGCGAGCACTAGCTCCTCATACACAGCTTTCACAGTATTCTTTCCTGGTGTCTTTGCGCATGAAACCACATCTAGGATAGGAAAATAGCTGGCTGCTTCTCTGTGCACATTCACCTCCTGCCCTCTTTGGTTGTAAAGCCAAAAAGGTTATAAATAGTGATGAGTAGTACCTGACATGGACACCTGTGGGGCTAAGACCTCAGATTATTTCACAGGTTGCTGAACAACTGCCTAAAATCTTTTCTGTCTCCCGTTCTTTTTTTTTTTTTTTTTTTTCTCTCATTCACTCCCCCAGAAATTTACACTGAAGAGATGAGCTTAAGCCAGCAATCTAGAAGAGATCTGAATCTTAATAAGCAAGAAGTAGCATTGCTTTTCCCTAAGGAGATCAATCTGTGAGAACAAGATTTTTCTCTCTGGTTGGGAAAGTGTATGGAGAAGGCCACTAAACTGGTTAAGGGTTGAAGGAAAAAATGCTTCACAAATGGCATATTTAGCTTATTACAATGGCACTATTGCCACGGGGAAAGAAACATTCAGTGAAATCAATACATAGGTAAGCCAATACTGTTCACATACTTGAAAGCTAAAAGACTCCCTTTTCAAAGAGGGTGCATTGTGGCTGTATTGTATGCATATTCTCCAAAACCCCTAAGAGCTTCCGAGGATCTCTGAGCAGTCACCTGTGCTCAGGTGGCTCTGCCAGTGCATTACATTACTCACCCTACAACGTGTTAGAGTGGCAATTAAGCTGTGTAAAGTGGACAAAAGAAGATGTTGAATCACAGATTCATCAGGACCATGAAACAATTTAATCTGTCTGAAGGAAGTCTGCTGCAGAAAGCAGATTTAGAAGGAAGGAGTCACACAGATGGGGGAGTGCAAGCAAAGCATTTCTCTGACTGGAGAGCATCTGGCATACCATTAAGCTACACTTAAATAACTAACAAGCTAAACAAAAGTTTAAGTAGCACATGATGTGTGTCTCTTGGAAAGACCTGAAAAGTAACAGCTGAAGACAAGTCACAGGATATTTAACTACTGCAGAGCCCAAACATCCAAACTTGCTTAAACTGTAGCGAGAACCAAAGGAATACAAAAAAGCAAGCACAGGGACTGTTCAAGTCAATATGATGGATATGATGCAGAATTGGAGTTGTTAATGTAAAGACAGAAAAATAATTAATGTATTGTAGACTGCAATACTTAAAGGAGAGAAAGAAGGCTGAGTAACTCCTGTCATTGAGCTTCAGTAATTTTTATTATTATTATTATTTTTTTTAAACCAAGCTTTAAATCTTACCTATCTCTAAGACAGGATGCAACTCTGCTTTTCCACTACCAGGTAATTTTGCCTCTCAGCACAAAAGTTGGATAGTTACACCACAATAATCAACTCTACAGTCTCCTGAGACTTTTACATAGAATGGGTATTTATGCTAGTTTTTAGGAACAGAAAGGCTAAGCAGCTCTCATGCAACTCTGGAGTGCCAGCAGCTCTACATCTAAGATCCTGAGGAATGCATCTCTCTGGATTTCTTTTTTCATTTGATAAATATAACAACAACAACAAGATCTTTCTTTCCTTCTTTCCTTTGCCCCCGCCCCTCAGGTACATTAGGCTCTACTTTTCAGTATTTTGTAAAATGCAATCACAAAAGTAGGTGGACAATGATTCTCTTCCATACACAAATGGACTAGGAGGGGTTTGGCACGGAAGAGGGTCAGTGCACTACATATGGCCATAAGGAAGTCTGGCATCAGTTCCATTAAAAAGATGAATAAGAAAAGCACTCAGATGAAAGCAATTTGAGTAAGTAGATGTAGCAGTGTGCTTGAAAAATAAGTGCAAGTAATGTGTTTCAGGACACTGATAAAGGAGTAAAAAAAAAAACACAAAACATTTCCTACTGTTTACATGATTTTAAATATAACATAATTCTTAAAACAAACTTTAGGACAGAAAGAATCTTTGGCTGTAGTCTGTATTTGGAAGATTTGTATCTCACTTGTATTAAGGAGACTAACACAGTTGGCTAAAGACTATCACTGTAAAATACAGCTGCTCTTAATTTGAAGAAGTGCATCCTTGCCTTTGTTGCTGTGTATACCTTTCCCCAGTGGTTAATAACAGCTAAGTAAATATAATAAGAAAAAATGCCTCTCAAATATTTAATTTGAGCTTATCTCATTGAGTTTCCAGCTATTAGTTCTTGTTGTGTTTTTCTCTGCTAAACTAAGGAACTCATTTGTATCCATTTTTTTTTCTTATCATAGAGCGTTTGTACACTAATCAAGTCACTTTTCAGTCTGCTCTAGTATAAAGAACAACTTGATCTGCAAGTGTCTCATTATACAGTTTTTTCTCTTCTCCTTGAGCAATTAGCATTGCTTTCTTCCTCAGACTTTACAGTTTTTAATACCCTTTTAAAAAGTGTGAAATGGAAACAATTTTCAAGATCAGACTGTGCTATGCTTACCCAGAAAATTACCTTGTTGATTCCATACATTCTTCTTCCAGCGTGCAAGCAAACCTTTCTGCCAAAGTATGGACCCTCACACTGATCAAACGTCCACTCTGATGTTTTTTTTGGAGTCACTGTTTTCCTTCTCCCCCTACTTTGTTTATGCTGTTTCATGTTTCTAGACAAATAATTTGTTTTCTTTTCATATTAAAATGCATTTAATTCAAATGGACTCTGTTGCTTAGTATTCTGGTTCTCTCTGAAAGACTCTCTTCTTCAGCCTTGGGCAGAGCACCTCTCCAATACACATGTAAATGCTAGGAGCAAGAATTTAACATTCATTGCTGAAAATATTAACTGGTAACGAATTCAGCATTGACCTCTGCATAGCTTCCCTCTAAGAGTATCTTTCTTCACTGATTACTCCTCACTAAACTATTTTTCAAAATTTGCCAAATATTTACTTATTTAACAGGTCCACTGAAAATACAAAGGACTTTTTCTGCTCCTGTTGTGAGACTGGCAGAGACAAGTTTAGAATAGCTTTTGCCTTCCTCTGCAGTGTTATATATAAAGAATTTACTAGGAAATATGCAGGCATTTTTGTCTAATGAAATCTCTCCTGTTGTGCTAAAGTGGGACACAGCTGAAGCCTCTCTTGCTCTCCTCCTGTGCTCCAGCATGGGCTTGGGACATCTCACCAAGTGACAAAAGCCCACCTGCCTCCAATTATTGGTACAAGGCTCCATGGTCTGCGTGGTCCCATTCAGTTCTTTGTCTCTTAAGGTAGTCTCCTATGAACTGTCATTACTTCTGTGTATTTACCAACTTTGTATGGCTGAAGAGCAAAAAAGTGTTTGAGGAGACCACATGGCCATAGTGGTTGTCACAGATATAATTATGCTCTGGCTTTCACAGACTGTGTTGCACCCTCACAGGACTTCTGTCTCTACTCCTTTTTGAAAACTTTAAGAGCTTTAAAACATCCCTTTTGGAGATCTCAACAATCCAAATTTTAAGCATAAATTAGATCCAAAAGGCGAGAGAGCGTCTTAGCCAATGCCTTTAGGATACCTGGCAGCAACTTCTCTGAGCCTGCAGAGTATTAAGTAGTAGAGTACTAAGTTACTAATGACTTAGAAAATACAATTTCACCCTTAGGCAATACAACTATATGAGTCTGATACTTTCCAAGCAGAGAATAGAAATATTTATTGAATCCATCTGCTTTTTCAGTACAATTATTTTTTGTTATTTCCCTCTGCTTGAGATAGAAGAGTACAACTACCATGATTTAAATATCCCACAAAAAAAACTTCTTTCTGTTCTCAGCCTTGCAAAATGTGAAATTCTTTAACATTTCTCTCTGTTTCATAATTTCTGATCAATAATGAGTGATACATAGTTCCTTTTCCATATTCCTATGCATGATTTTCAAATTCCTAATTCCTACCTCTGATATATTACCAAAACAAGAAAAACTTTTCAGCAGAGCTGCTTTATATCTTGATAATAGAATACTTGCATTTTTTTGACCATTCTAAAATAAATCCTATTTTTATTTATGATTTCCTTGTGACTTTTTCCTTTGTATGATTTCTGTTCACAATTTTTCTGTGGTGCTTGGAGGATTGGCTTTGTAGCATTGAGTATTTATACTGCTGTTGGGCTCATTTTTCCTTGCCCAGACTGAACATAATTAAATTCTGATCACCGATCCCCATCCAGTTTTAATCGAACTATTAATTTCTCACCAGCCATCACAGGCAGGCTCTTTATAAAATGTACTTGTTGTCTCCTCATCTGTCACTCAGGCATGAACTCCCAGGTATTAATGGTAATTTTCAGTAACTTCAGTGTTTCTCTAAATGAGGGAAACTGCAGATCCTGTGATACCAAGTATAGAAACCAAATAGTGCCAGGAGCACTAATTGGCCCCATCCTAAGTCTTTAGCAAAGGAAGGTCTGCAGTGTTGGTTAGCTGCACCCACTCCCATTTTTCTACAGGAAGAAAACCTGAAGGCAGGACTGGACTTCACCTCTTCACATGCATTCACATAAAATCCTATCACTTTCTCAGTTGCTTGAGGAAAACCATCTGAAAGGAGGTTTCTGCTTTTTTCATTTCTCTAACCCTAAACCTTGTGACAAAATACTCTCTACCTCTTAGTTTTCAATGAACCTCTTTCATCTTTTCCTGCATTCATCCCTGTCAACAGTATCACAGTACTTGTCTCTCTAATCTACTCTCTCTTATTTTATTTTGCCATATATAGAAAATATGTTTTGCAGAAGATTACTACTTGCGGGGGAACCCATGTATTTACACTTCCATTAAAATCTTCAAGACAATACATTGGAAAGTCAAATCGTACCTTGCAGTATATTGACAAACAACCTGGCTTGAAGTTCCTCAATACATCATTTCTCCATGGGAGGTGAGTCATCTGAAAACATTACTGCTCACTTCTGCTCATCCATCTTCCTTGCAGGAGCAAAGAAAAAGGGAAGTCAACAATGTGTCTGACAGCAATTACTACAGAAGTATTCACGTGTCTCCCACCTTTAAATTAGCATTTAGTTGTGCTTGCTTAAAGTCTAGCTTGAAGAGAAATAAAGAAAACATTAAATGACAAATGAGTACACTGTGGACATGGCTTAGCTGAGATAAAAAAAAATTTTGCTTTTAAGCAAGCTCAGGCTGCCTTGTGCCAGCTATCCATGAGCTGGAGCAGGCTTGGTCTGACAGCAAGGCCTCTGCCGAGGGAGAAGCACCCAGCTCACTCCTGCTGCAGAGCCCCATACTCCCCGTACAGCAGTACCTCTACATCATCCCCTGAGGATTAGTACTTTTCCTTCTCTCTTCCCTTTCCCTCTCTGACACAATTGGCAGTAGCTCTCTTAGCTCTTTTCATAAACAATACTTTTAGTTCTTTTCTTCTTCAAACCTTTTTTAAAAAATTATTTTTATTTTACATATATATTACAACATTACCTAATTAATCCTCACAAAAACAAACAAACAAACAAAAAAAAACCAAAAAAAACACAACAAGAGAGATTATGAAGTTCTAAACAGTAAGCAACAGTTGGCTATCAATGCATCTTATTTAATGTGACCATTTAGAGGGAAGGTTGAAGAGAAGTAGGTATGTATTTACTTTATTTTTTTCAAGACCAGTACTATCATGGGAGCTGGAGCTATGCAACCACAGTTTCCAATTCCCACTTCTGTCCAGGAACCAACATGCTGTAGCTCTCTCAACCCCATCTCTCCCATTTCCCCTTCTACTTCCTTTCTGAGGTTAACTGAATTCTCTGCAATTCAGAAAGCTCTAGAAAAGCTTTTCTCAAAATGTTGTTCCCCCTGCAGATTGGTAAACTGTCTCTTTGATTAACTCCATCCCAAAACAATGGACTGATTATTATTTAACCTTTACAAAAGCTGGAACACAAACTTACCATGCACTGCACTCTTGGAGATTTATTAAAATTTGATTACAAAAAACAAAAGGGAAACATGCACTGCATCTTGAACAGCTTTACAAAAAGCCAGTCGAGACAATCCTGTATGAATGACTCAATCTATGCACAGCATGAAAGAAAACATGCAACACTTTCTCAGTGTCATTTCTATTTAGAACTGGCTAGAATACATGTATTTAAATAAAGTAAACATAAGTAGTAGAAAGGTATTTTACAGGCAAAAAAAAAAAAAGGAAAAAAAGAACAAAAAATACTACAGCTAAATGCATTCAGGATTGCAACAAACAAATATATATATATATTTTTTTTTTTCAGATTTCAGTGATCACTTTGAAATGATTCTCAATGTATCTGGTCCTTCCCAACCTCAAAGAAGCATATAGCTTAAGAAAGGATAAGGAGGTCTGTGCGATTTTATTACTTTTTTTTTTTTTTTAAGACTATTTTGATGGAGGGCTGTTAGAAATTCTTGCTCTCTCTTGCTGTTAGAGGAATATGGGACCAGCCTGAGCCAGCTGACAGGGCAAGCTCCTGGCAGGACAGGCTGTGCCCCATCACAGTTCAGGGCTGGTCCCGGAGTGTGAGCCCAACACCACCTGTGCAAATTCCCCACAGTGCCTGGAATTGGCCCAGCAGTGCAAGTTGCACATTATACCAAGGCAGTCACCAAACGGGCAAAGAAAAAGAGACATTTAGTCAAAAGAAATGTGATATATCATGACAAGCAAGAAGACCTGCCTCTGCCTCCATATCAGGAGGCTAACAGGAAGAAATGGTTAACAGGTTAACGCCATCCAGAAAGATCACGCCAGCTCCAAACATAGCCCCTGTGCTAGGGTACAGGAGGAGCAGGGCTGCCTTACCTGGGGAGGTGGCATTGGAACCAGAAGATCAACCCCAGCATGGGTCATCGCCTGAGACAGAGCCTCTCAAGGATCCCAAGGGGAGGGCAGCAGGACTTGAGTACTCCCATGGTGCTGCTTCGGATAGGCCTGGCTTGACCAAAATCATGCCCAGAACAGGGAGATCAAGGTGGTAGTCTTGGATGGGGATAGATCAGGAAAATTAATTCATACAGACACCTCAAAACTAACTTCTGAGCTGAGCAGTGGCTCGTTGGATCTTCCTTACCCACTTGAAGTCTGAGTGCATCTTAACCAAATGAAGGAGTAGAGCTCCTTATCATGAATGTTGTGCCTAGCCTGGCTTCAGAAAGGGCTATTTCCTTACAAAATGCATGCCCAGCAGTGGTGACTGCAATAGCAGCATGGTTACTACAATTTCATTTGGTAAAATGAGGTCATGAAGTGAATGTTTCAGAGACAGAAGTTGCTGTACTTGCTCTAAAATTCCCAATAAATAGAATGAAATTCACTGCATATGTTTTTGAGACCTAAGAAGCAAACAGAGTTCAGCCCAGATCACAACCAAACCAAGCCAAGCTAAGCCAAACCTCTGCCTCAGCCTGCATTGTTACAGAGCTCACAAAGTGGGGCTGAGGCAATACTAGCCCCACTGAATCATGACTGAAACCATCTGAATGTTTCCACAGACACCACGCTCAAGGCCTGCTGCACCCAGCCACCTAATGTTGCCTAATCACAGTTGAACAGCCATGAAAATAAATCTGATCAATTGTAACTTCATACATGGAGAAAGTTGTCTCAAACATGGATCAGGTCTGTCTTCTGCTGGGGTCTTACAATGCAAATGCAGGCATGCTGAAAGGCTCTTCTTAATTTTCAGAGTAAAATCAGTGTGATCCCATCCAACCCATCACCAGCACATGAGAAATGCCAGTAACTAGTGGCCTTGTATGCCAGCAGTTTCCTGCTCCCAGATCACTCCCAGGGAGCTGCTAATGGCAGTGCAAATTAACAGAGTTACAGTCACACCCGTTCATCAATCTTGGATGTCACTAAGCGGACACAGGGATGTACCTAGGGATGGTCCATCTAAACTACAAGTATAAATCAAAACCCACATAAATGTACACAGCACCTTTGTAATAAATGTACATACTCAGGTGCAGTTTCTGTGCTTCTAGCAAGTTCCTGGAACAGCCCTGTCTCTGAATTTGGGAAACATGCCCAACTCCTAACCTTTCAGGCAACTCATTTTATTATCTGTCAGCTACCTAATAAGCCTTGTACAACGTGAACATAAACACCACATTAATGGTATAGTTATACAAACAATTCCCTGGCAGCAAAGCTGAGTTGAGAAGTTTTCCCCTGCTTGGTCCAACTCCAGCTCCTCTTATAGCTCTTCTTCACTGTACCAGCAAGACTGTCTGAGGTGCTGCACTGTCAGTGAGATTGCTGAACTTACCAGGGTAAAACACAAAACAGAAAAACCTTTTCCACTGCAGTCTCTTCCCCTCCACCAATGAAAACGGAGAGCAGGCAGAATAGAAACAGAAATTTGAAAAACAAAACAAAACTTTTCAAAAAAATAAGATAAAATAAAATAAAAATAGAACAGGGCAGAAAATACTTCAATTGATGTTACCACTTTTACCAAGAACTCACACATGTAGCTGTGCACGGGAAACACATACCAAGAGAACAAACCATTCATACACCCATGTTGAAGTAGAAAGACCTGCCAGAGACAGCCTGCCTTAGAACATGTTTAGAACATAACATATATTCAAATCATAAATAAAATAAATTTAAAGTCCAGGGCAATTTAATTTGAGATTTGGTTAAGGTATTCTCAATAAAAAACTATTGAGGAAGAAAAACTTACAGTTATAAGATGACAGCAGGACTAAAGTATTGGGGCAACAGCCTGGATGAGGAAGGAACTCCCTATCAGTGCCCACCACCTAGCTCTGTTGACATGAGGTAAACCACGCATGGCCAACAGCAAAACCATTGAGAGTGATGTGACTTAGCTTCACTGCCTTAAAAATCCTGCTTACAGAATCTCTTTCAGAAGTCAATGACTTTAACCCAATTTAAAGAAGTGAACGTGAACTGAATTAAAAATTCTTGAATCCAAAGTAAATCCACAGCTGGTTTTAATCTTGTTTACAGGAGTATAGGAGTAAAGGAATCCCTATCTCTTGCAATTTTATGCAGCCTCATCAAAACTCTCTGCTGCACTGATCAAGTGAAAGTCAAGATTTGTGACCCCACTGCTCTGCAACTTGTTAGAAATTTTCTTAATTTTCTTCCTAAATTTATTCATAGCCAGCTTATTCCAATTTATCCTACTAACAACATTGTCCTTTGGGTTAAATGGCTCTTCTCCCTCTGTGCTCCAAGTATTCTAGGCAATATCTTATAGTTTTGCAGCCATTATTTTGCTAGAGGAATGAGCCAAGCTTTTCAATTTTTCTTTCAAAGAGAAGAATAGCTTTCCTCAAAACTTTTTCAAAAATCTCTCCTCTCCTGCTCTATTTAGAGTTCAGCTTCCCTGGGCTTGGGTGACCAGAACAGCACTCAGTATTTCAGACATTATTTCACTATTGCCCTGGATGATGAAATCCATTTTAAAAAATATCTTAGTTTTCACTTTTATTATCTACACACAGAAACTTAAATATCAAGATCACATCTGACCTTATATCTTAACGTTTTGACACAAAGCTAGAAAAATTAAGACTTGAGAATGTTTCCCTCATACAGCATTCTGAGGCAACTTGATCCGAAATGGACACTAGTTAAAATCTCTCCCTGTAAGTATTGTTATGGCAAAATCACATGATTCATACTACATACCTTAACTAATATAACTGACAAAGAAACGTCATGATTTTTCTGTATCAATAACCTTTTCTAGACATCCTTCCTACTCAAGGTTATGGCTAGGTTATAAAAATTGTGTCTGTTTTCCACTAAACGAAAACCTGTGCTAAAAAACAAACAAACAAAAACAAAACATAACTGTTTTGGAATAGAAGCATTCCTTAAAATGTACTCAAATTTCTCTCTACATTTAATTCTTTATTTTCAAGATTTTTACTAAACTCCGACTGATGATGCTTTTTCTCATTAAAGTGATAAAAATGAGTCAACCGTTACTACTTTAAATTTTGTTAAGTATCCCCAGGATGGTGTCAACAGCTACATAAAGCATAACAGCCAGAATCTGTTTATTTACCTGCTTTATTTCTTGACTGCTATGAAAGTAACCTACACCTGTCATCTAAGCAACTATGTAATAGACTATTTTCAATATAACAGGGCTTTATGAGTTTGTTGCTTTGTTGTTGTTTTATATTTTCCTTCCTTCCTTTTTTCCCCACAGTAGGACTGCTGGCTTCAGCTGATACATATGTGCACCTTCTGATAACAACTTGTGAAGAAGTAGATCAGTCATTAAGAAAGAAAGAGTGCTATTCTGATTTACACCACTATGAATTTAGAGTAACTACTGAAAAAGGTGTAGCATAGAAGAAACACATTCCAGTTCAACTGAACTGCAACCTTTCCTATGCAACTGAAAGGTCACCTTTTGAAATTCCAGATGTTGAATCTCAGTACTACCATTTTAAAATTGGCCAAAAAACTTCCATTCATGACCTCAATATTTTACAAATATTTATTGTCAAAATACATCTGAGTGAAAATTACTACCTCATCACCACCACCCAAATATTTTTTTCCCCTCAAAAAAAGGAAATGCAGGCAGACTGAACAAAGCAAGCTCTAATAAAGATAAGAAAGGGTTCCTGTAGTCTTGTCTGCCTTCAAACCACAATCCCAGAATGAACTCCATCACATTTTTAAATTATGCAAGCAAAATGAAAGCTTAAACTACTTTCTTTACTTTATATTCTTAGAAATTCAGTTGTCTGAAGGACTGTTGGAGATCATGAGTCGCCTGTAGGAACAGATATCTTCAGTGATCTAAGTCAGTGAAGGAGAAAGAAAAGCAAAAAATTATGTTCTTAAAAGCTATTCTATGAGGAATTATATTTGCACTCAGTTGTATCATCTATAGCTCTGAGTGCATTTACTTGTATAGTTGAATAAGACTTAGCAGTTAAAGAAACACTGCTGTCCTTTATAGAAATTAAAGTTTTGGTTGCTTTTATTGTTTTCGTGAACCAGGTTTAACCTGATGAAAAGGTAACAAGAATGCTCTTGCATGTTGGGCCATCTTCACAAGGCACTGAAATTCAGCCTTGTGACCATTACATCCTGAATAAGAAGAATTACATATTTCATTTTATTTTTAAATCACAGCATGTCAAAAATAACCTAATGGTTAGGGACTCATTTCTTCATGCCTAACAATAATCACTAACTTTGTGTTATAGCTGTTTTATTTCCATTAGTACACGTGTCGTCTACATGTGTGAAGTACAGAGGCAGATAACGGGAACTCTATATTTCACTACGACAAACTCTTTTTAATTTGTTTCCTCTTCCTCTAAATTGAGCACCTGAACTCCAAAAGTGAATTCATATCATTTTCTTGGTTTGTAGCTGGGGTGAAGTTTTAGGACCGAGTTTTGGTATCCCTGAATTTATACAACTCTCTTACAAGCTAATGTAAGCTTTAATATGGGAATTGAGATAAAATACTGCACTTGGATAAAATACTGTGCTTGGCTAACTACACTTCCCAGAAGGGCATTTCAAGCAGAGGAGCAGAGAAAATACAAATACTCCAAACTGAGCAGTCATCTTCCATTTAGAGGGTCAGAACTTTCATGTCATTACTCAGAATAAAATTTTAGTTACCCTTAGTCAAAAGGAAATAGCAGAGTTGCAACTTGAAATATTTGTGGTTTCTAAGATGCCTAGAGAACGTAGCCATCAGCGTGCAAACACTAATACTATATTTCTTACAGAAAGTAAATGTACTTGCTACATATATATTTTACATATACATATATACACCTATATACATATCTGAATTTTAGAAATATACTTCTTAGAGTTGGAAAAAAAAAATAAAAAGCTTTTCCCCTATTGTAAGCAGAATAAAGATCATGTAAACTGCTTGCTGTGCCATCAATCGTGGCTGGAGAGCAGGAATGCTGCTGACAGCAGTTACTATTCTTTTGATACACCAGATACAT